ATTACATCCAATTACACCCAAATTTAATTTTTAGGTAACTTTCCAAACATGCTATTAATTATCTATATTTAATATATGCCATCTAAATTTTAAACTTAATTTAAAGTAGTAGTTCATTTACTAATTCAATTGCATTTGAATTCGTAGACTAAATTTCATGTTGGGCTATGCCTCGTTGCTAGGATATTCATGATAATTCAATCTCAAAAATTGGCTCATAAGGTGAGAATTGTTCGAGATTATGGGAAGTGATTAAGTACTCCATCCACAACTGAAGTGGGACTTTAACACCCTATCCAAACATGCCCAATACCGGACATATGGACCGGGGCGGATCCAGTGCACTAGTTACCGGTTTTCGTGAGCCCAATAACTTTTGTGTAGATTCGATATTTGTATTGAAAATTCATTAAATATATACAAATATTTAGCTTGGAATACAATTCATTCATCCAACTATTATTGTATATTAACTTGAGATTTCTGTAGAAATCCATAAACTTAAAATTCAGAAACCGCCTCAGCATATGGAGGATGGTCAACATAACATTGGGCTCAACCTCGGCTGAATCTCTAAAAATATCTTTCATGTTCCTTAATATCAAATAATCAAATACAAAATATACAATTTAAACTCTAGATAAAATTCCAAAATTATTAAAAAAAAAATATAATAATTCCAAAATCTTGAAACTTCTTCGACTAACCTTAATTACAAATTACAATCATCTCATTTCTGAATGTCATGCAATGAAGAAAAGTTGAAAAACCAATTTGGGCGAGACCATGTTATTCACTGATGATGACTACCATAAACGATAGTTTTGAAATGATACTAGATTTTTAAAATTGGTGAAAATCATTTACACCCATGGGCCATGACTGCTAGTCTGCTCTAAATTAACTTTCCAACTTTAAATTAAGAACAAATATTCTCTCCTCCTTTCCTATGTAATCTGGGGCGGAGCCCGCCCTTGGGCTACGGGTTCAGCCGAATCTATTAGCTCTAATTCAAACTTTATATTTGTCTTAATTTTTTTTTAAATATACGCAAATTATTAAGTTAGAATTCAATAACTTAAAAGAACTATATGAAGTTTTTCTTTTAAAGTAATTATATGAAGTGGAGTAGTTTTTATTTTGTGAGGTACAAATATATTATGTCGTATCTGATCAAGTAATATTTGTTTCCTATAGACAATTTTCTGGACTTCTAGATGTATGTTCCCACTCATCCTTTTATGTCTTAACGTGCAATTTGACAAATATAGCTAATCAAATAATTGTGGGACGACACTTCTATTTTTTGAAGAATCACGATTCACTTTGTACAAATTGGTGAATTGTCAATTAGGTTTAACCAGAGCTTCAATAATCAGACAGATCACCAACTCCTAATGAGCTTTCAAAATTCCAACGTTTTAAAAGACAGGGTATGAGGCGGAGCGTTATTTTTAACGTGAGGCGAGGCGTAAGGCCCGATCCATGAGGCATAGCCCTATGAATCTTTAAAGTTTTAATTTATAAATTAATAAAGTAGCATAATAACTACAAAAAACATATAAAAAACATTAAAACTGCAAGAATTAAAAAGAATAAACAACTCGCTAAATAAATTATTTAGTACTTTTTATAATTAATATAAACAATTGCAATAATATTAAGGTTACTATAAAATAAAAATCAACTATAACATCTTATCTTTTAAACAATTAAGAGATCACAATATTTATAAAAAATATTTTCATGCTACACAATTTACTTCTCGAAAAGTTAATAATCAATAAACTTCATTAATAATCAATAAACTCCATTAATAATGTAATCTAAAATATTACTCCTCATGAGTAAATATAAACTTACTTTCAAATAGTAAAATAATAAAATTTAATAATTTTGAGAGACATATAACTAAAATATGAATACATAAAGTAACTGGAGATGTAAATAAATTTTGGCTTTCTAATGATATTGTATTCTCAATAAGTAAATATGCAATACTATGGCTCATTATTTTGAGTTACTCTCAATCTTCATATTTCTATAGATTAATAGAACTTTAATCATTTATTTGTTGAAAATGTTTGAGTTTCAACAGTACTAATTATTAATTAGGGAACTTGATGCACAATTGTGCTAAGAATGGTTAGTCGCAACCTGAGCGGTGAGCGTTAGGCATATTTCGGACGCACATTCATGCGCTTGGGCGTCATAGGGCGTTTTGATAGTGCCTCATTCCGGGACGAGCAAGGAAGCAAGTCCCAAGAAAACCTTTTAAAACACTGTTAAATATGTCACAACCCAAACCGAAGGGCCGTGACGGGTACCCGGTGCTTTACTCAACCGAGTACCAACGTAACATATCTTTCTTATCATGTTATCATGAGNATCATTAATCAATGATTCCAGCCTTAAACCATATACTTATAACAACGAAAATAATCCACAACTTCAACTATCCTCAATTAGCAACTTTATTCACTAGTTCATGTCTAGC